CTCTTTCCCAGTGCATAGTGAAAAATCCTTCTTTCATTTTTCTCTTACTGCTAACACACCTACAGATTGCCGCCTTGTTCCCTTTCCTTTTCCTTCTCATTGTGTGTCTTGTCCCTAACTTTGTCCGCCTCCTCGCCCCTGGGCCCGCGGGCACCCAGGCTACCCATGGGACGGGCGTACGGAGGCAGCTCATAAGGAAGGGCCGGCGTTAAAACACGCTGGGGAGCACAAGGAGCCGTGACGGCGGCCGTGAGCAACACCCAGCATCAGCTGCCCGCGCTCCCGGAGTGCCTCGCGGGTGCCAGGACAGGTCCGACTGCCGAGGACAATCTCGAAGCATGGGAATTCAGTGCCTTTGCAGTGTTTTCTAAGAGCTTCGTTAATGTGTAAGATGTGGGAATTTCCCCGTTTTCCAATGGCATGGGAAAAATGCCATGGCACCTGGGAGGAGGGGTGACCAGCCTCTCCCCTGCTCACTGGTGCTGCTCCCTCTTCGCCGTTTCAGCTACCAAAAGTCCCCTTTGCCTCGGTGGTTTTGATTCGCTCGAACATCCGCGGGTCCTTCCTTGCTCTCCCCGGGGGTGTAACTGTCCCCATTTAACCTCGCTTCCCTCACTTTGCCTTTACCCCCCGGCTCTTCACGCCTTCCTCTGCAAGAACCACCCTCCCCAGGCGTGTGACCGGCGGGTGCTGCTGGCATCGGCGTCACTAAGCTGGAAGGAACTAGGCGAGCACGTAAAACGAAATCCCCCCCAAATCAACTTACCAATTTTACACAGGCCTCTCCATGCTCTTGGAGCTCATACGATTTTTAGAGAGCAAGCTCATAGCTAGCAACACCAGCGTGTGCTGCTCAGACCTTGTCCTAGTGAAGCTTCCTGCAAATTGCAGTTGTTTTAGTACAAATGCTCCATATTATATGAAACAGGAGAAATAAATGGAGAATTCCAGGCGGGCAGGCATCGGTGCCCCCGTCCGCGCAGCAGCAGGAGCCCAAATCCCGAATCCTTGTCTCTAAACACACGCAGCCCGCCAGGTCCCCCCGAGCGGGGTACGCGATGCGGAGCTGCGCTTACATTACCGCACGGGCTCGGCACCGCGGTGGCAGCGGGTTCGGGCCGGCCGGAGCTGCGGATGAACGAGGCTGCAGACGCCCTTTGCAATGATGCTCATTCCTTTATTGGTGTCATTGCCAGTTTTCTGAAGGGTGCTGGCGCTTTCTGGTCGTTCCCAGCACCGGGTCAAAGCTACATTACAGCATATTGAAGAGGTGTCCATCCAAAGCCAGAGGGGTGTGAGATTAATGACCTCTCTCCATACAGTTTGTATAATATATATATATTTATAATATGTCCTGTATATTCATATGTATAGAGTGACAAGGATGGGCCACCATACAGTAAACTTTTGATTTCTAAATAAATCACCAGAGCAACAGGCACAAAAATTTGGTCCTAATCAAGGCCCTCACCTCGTCAATCAATCCGAAACAGACCCCAACCCACCCCCTCGCGAAAAAAAAATGTCCAAACCTGAAACCCAAAATAACCAAACAATTAAACAACAAAAAAGCGCCCCAGCCCAGCCCCGTACCCCCTCTGGGATTTGCCCCCTCGGTCACTCACATTGACGGTAAATAGATCCCTTGGCTACACGCGCGCGCGCGCCCACGCACACCTACACACACTCCTATGTAAATACACACGCACCGACATACGAAGACCAGAGAACATTACAAATATACAGCTGAGGTTGCTGCGGCGATGCAGAGAGGCTGCGGAGCCACCCGAGGCAGAGGGAAAACGCCGCCACGAGCTCGCCCGGTCTCGGCTCAGATCACCAGCATCTGCTTACAACCTTCCTCGGGGTTTGTGCTAAGGAGGTTGGGAGGTCGTCGGCAGCGGTGGAGAGAGACGGAGCGAGTGCACGGGAGACTGCCAGGCCCACGCGCACGATAGATGCGATACAAGCGGCACTTGGATGTTGAAAGCGGCTCAGCCCTGTCCCCTGCACCGGGTGCTCGCACGCCCGTCCTGTGCTCTGCTGGAAGGGCTTCCACATGGATCCCATGGTCACCATGGTCCTGCTGGACCTGTCCTTTGCCATGACACAGACGAGGACCACCGCGTGCCATGGGCGACCGGTGTGGCGCACATCCACCCTTCGACGCGATGCTCCGTGGCCGGGGGCAAGCCATGGGGAATGAGAGGACACCATCAACTCCGGAGCTTTGTTTCCCATGCCCTGGGTAGAGAACGGAGGTAAAAGAGACCATCACCGAGTCACCACCTCGGGGCTCCACAAGATGCCATGGCTGAAGATGAACTTGGGGCAATTAGAAAACAAGGAAGGAAAATAGATCCCTGCAGACAGCTCCTCCCCGTTCTGAGGTCTGTGCTTCCTGACCCCGACTCCCAGATGCTATCCAGAAAACTAAATAAAGAACCGGGTCTCTCATCCACCGTGTTTCACGGGCCCAGAGCCAGCTTGCTCCGGGGGATGCGCACGGGCAGAGAACACGAAGCAGGACAATGCTGCAGGGGATGGGGAGAAGACGCCCCGCGGCAGAGCAGGGGATGAGTACAGCGATGGTGGGAAGGTCTGTGGATGCCCCAGCCCGGCCACGTGCAGCATGCTGATGGGACGCTCCTCTTGGATGGGACTTGCGCTGCTCTGAAGCAGACACAGCTTATGTTTCTGCTCCTGATGTTTCTGCTCTGTCTCTGCCTCCTTCCCTCTCCCTCCCTGAGCCCGGGTCCTGTGTGCAGGAGCCATCGAGGTGAGCAGTGACCAGTCCTCCAGCGGAAGAAATTCTCTTCATCGCCCGAAGACAGGCCCTACCTGCAGTCTTCCCAGATCTGCCTTCCCAGGGACCGGCCTCAGCAGACGGCCCTTTGAAGACCCATATCCTCCCACGTGGACCTGGGGGTCGCTCCCTCATTCGTTAGGATCTCGTCAGACAAACGGATCTCCCCCACCTCCGCACACCCAGGGAAGCCACAGCTGCTGGCCTGGCGCTGCCAGGAATGGTCTTCAACAAGGACCCACCTTCCCTCAATCGAGTTGCTGAAAGCTGAATCGCTCAGGAACACCGAGCGATGTCCTGGCACCTACGTGTCCTGCCTGGGACGGGGTTCAGAGCGCCAGAGTGGCCTTACGGCTCGCCCCCTCTTACCCATTACCCGTTTCACGTCCATCCCTCCACGACCCACGCAATCACCAGGACATTTCTCCCCACTACGAGGCGACCTCCACGCAGTATTACCCAGCCCGGAGGAGAGCGATGTTGCCATCACTCCTCCAGGCATCACCGTCTTATCCTGCATTTCTTCATTGCCTTTAGTTGCCAGGATGGTGGGCGCTCTCACCCCTGGTTTCATTCAGGTAGCGTTGCTCCCCAGACTATGTGTGTCTTTGGGAGGGGTGGGTGGAAGGGGACGGAGATTTCCATCTCCCGTTCTTGCTGTAAGGAGTTAAACACCCGCTTAGTCAGGGATGGGAGCAAGCTGGGTGTCAGGCAACTGAAGAGGACAGGGCCAGCCGCCTCCAGAGCGTGGCCCAGGTGGAACAAAGTCCCGGTGCCACCTGACTTGGTTTGGTTAACCTGCAAGCCCTGCTGGCATACCTGGAGTGACAGCCATGCCCAGAAGTCAATGAGATGTCATTGCTGCCACCAGTGTTGATGCAGGCTGGAGAGTCCCTCTGGGCCTCTGACAAGCCCAGCGCAAGGTGCTGCCACCACGAAGTCTCCAAATCCTTGTAGAAATGGCCAAATTCCCTGGGATCCAGCAAAGCAAAGGCAGCACCAGAGTCCAGGGCTGCTCTCACCTTCTGCCAAAGCCACCAGAGAGGGGCACGTGCCCTCTCCTGCCTGCTCTGCAGAGCACGATGGTGAGCAGTACGCCGGTGGTGCCCACCCCGGCGGTGTCCCCGTGCCCCAGCCCTGCGCGGGGGCTGCGGCGGCGGCGTGGAGGTGGGTGGGAGCCGAGCGTACCCGAGAAGCGGTCGGCGTGATGCCCACTGCCAGCCGTGGATGTCCTCCAGTCTGAGCACGCCTCCTGATTCCGCGCATCAACCACTCCATAAATAAATACGTTAAATAAATAAAGTGACAGATCCAGATCGGGGCGGGGGGGCAGAAGGAAGGAGGGGGCAGCTCCCCTCGCCCCGGGGCTGTTCGTGAGCGTCTCACACAAACACACGCGCACACAAAGTAGCTGAAGACAAAGACGAACTGGGACCGGTGGGGATGCTGCCGGCTGGGGCCCCTTCCTCGGCCGTCGGCGGGGCACAGTCCTCGCTGCGAGGCGGTGCGGGGGACGAGCGGGTCCAGGACGTCACTCCTGAGCTGGCATCGTGGCGGCGCGCGGGGAGCTGGAGGTGAGGGAGACATGCGTGGTTGAGGACGGCAGTGACCGCGGCGTCTGGCACCTGGATGGGGAGACGAACAGAGAAAACCTGGTTTCCTTCTCCTTCCGCGGCCTCCCGCTCTCCCCGAAATCCAGCCATTTTCTCAGTCATTTGCTACGCAGGCAGCACCAAAGAACACCCAGTGTTGGGCAGGGCAACACCTTATGTCTTATCATCTGGGATATACGTATATCATCAAATCACAGAAGGGTTTGGGTGGGCAGGGACCTCCAAAGGCCACCCAGTCCCACCCCTGCCATGGGCAG